ACAAAAACGTAGAGAGAAAAATTGGCCCATTCCTGAATCGGCCCGTGCGAGGATGTATATCTTCTTAGCATTGACAGCATCTATTTCATCTCGTACGTCATTATGATGACAATTGACTGTCACATGAATTGGTTAATAATCGAAGTCCACATTATAACTTTGTTGAAAACATTTTCAAAATGATATCAAAAGAGGAAGATTGTGATTTGGGTTTCAATTATGGACGATATGATTGATTTCATTTCAGATCGATAGCACAGGAAGGGTATTATGTAAAGTTTTGGTTATTTCATGCGTTCTAAGATGTTTGCGGCTTTTCTATAACTTATTTCTCTTAATTTTCCTACATGTCTGAAGAATATGACACACGAAAATAACTTTTATAATATTAATCATGTAAGCTTATATTTCTTATTTCTCAATTTTGTTATAAACTGAATGTTTAAGCCCAACAACATCTAAAAGTGTACAGTACGAAATTAAAATAATTAATTAATAATAAACAATAAGTCAATTATTTATTGTTTCTAAATTCAAAGGGCGGTGGAACAACACCCTTCTGTTTGCCCGGTAGTGTTTGGCGTTTCCACCACTCCGTCAAGTATGCAAGACCTGAAAAATGAAGGCGGGGCTTTCTCCCCCATTTTACCTCCGGCGTGAGAATTAGTTTTTAGACTTGGAAGAAATATATTTGAAATTCAGATTGCTAAAACGAGAATGGGAGAAAAAAAATCCCTTACCTGTGTCACATCCGGGGGTATTTATAGATATTAGGCACTGAGTAACCGCTGGGCAGTTGTGGTGCCACGTGTCCCACATTGGTATGCCCACTACACCCACGTTCTGAGTGAGGAGTCCTTAACTTCCCGCCTGAAGATTGTACCTGTATCAGCGGCCATGGAACTTGGTCAATTAATTAAAGGTTTTATGGCTAAGTGTTTGGACAAGCAATATCATGCCCGTTGAGGACTTCGCTTAGAGGTAGAATGACTTCTAGGGATAGTGGTAGAGCGCCCTTTGGGGGTTTTAGTAGAGTGCCTCTCGGGCGTAGTGGTAAAACGCCTTCTGGGGGTTGTGGTAGAGCGCCCCTGGGCGTAGTGGTAGAACGCTCCTCTCGGCGTATTGGTAGAACGCCTTATGGGGGTCGATGGCCTTGCATCGGAGTGCTGTGATCTGCCTTGCTTGTCATTGAGAGTGGCTACTTCTACCAACCTATATTCCCATTCATCCCTTTTTTGTGTCGATTTTCAACGAGTTCCACCTTACTCCTAGTCAAATTAATCCTAATGCATGGAGAAAAGCGTTATATTTTCTGTATGTCTGTCTCAAAAAGGGAATTTCACCTTCCATGGATCTTTTCAGGTGTGTCTTCGAAATGCATGAGCTAGTTCAATGTAATGCATTTGTCTATTTTACCACTAGGGTACCTTTGCAATTCCCTAAGTTTAGGAATTCGAATAGTGGATGGAAGTCCCGATTTTTCTTCGTCCGACCTTCAAAGGGTCAGTTCTCTTTTAACACAAACTAGCGACACCCCCAAATTCGTCTCTTCAAGAGCCAAGTAGAAGTTACTCCCTTTCTAGAAGCTCAAATTCAGGACTTGGTTGATGTACCGCCTTTTGCACCTGACTTAGGGTCAGTCCTAACCATGAAGAACATGTTAAAAGTGGGGATGAGTCGCCCAATCGGTAAGTCGTTTATGTTGTTTTTCTTTGATCTTGATGAGGTATTGAAGACTCTGCCAGGAGGAGATGAGGGCCTTACCCTCGTTGATGGTAAGCTTTCATGTTCACCCCCACCCTCTCTTCCTTTTTTTTTGTACTCTACCTTGTGATCTTAACCGATTTCAACTTACATGTGCAGGGGCCGAGCTTGATCTGGAAGGAGTCATGGATTCCATGCCAGACCAGGGACAGGAGGGTGAGGTGGATCCTTCGCCTATCCCTTCAAAGAGAAGGAGGGGGCCGACCTTGGGAGAAAGTCTCAGACGATCAACGAGACTTCTCAGCCTTCAGATGAGCCTCGTGATGTGGCTCCAGCTCCTAGGCCGGGAGCTCCCAGTCGTGCACGTTGTGAGCGCGAGGACTTGCTTCCTAACTTTGGGTTTCCTCCCACCCGGGGCTATCATGAGATGGGAGTGCTTAAGTCGTTGGTGACCCCCGCTCGATCCAGAGTGATTGCAGGGCACAGCGTAGATGACATTGAAAGGGCTGCGGCTGTTTACCTCCAGAGGGTATGTTTCCCATTTCGAGATTTCTTTTATGTTGGATCTCGCCTTTTAAGTTAGATTTTAACTCGTGGTTTCATTCTTTTTTCCCCTATACATTTTTTTTTTAGGTGGTGGCCCTCCAGACCGGACTCGCTGAGTCAAATCGTCGCCTGGTCTCAGAGCTGAAAACTCTTGCTGAAGAAAAGAAAAAGGAGGCTCATCACCACAAGAAGAAAATATCCTCCTTGAAGAAATCTCTAGAGACGTCGGACGCTCGAGCTCGTGAGCAGGAGACGGAGATCGACAACCTACGTTCTGTTTTGGCTTGTGCTCCTGAAGAGGCGGTTCAGAGGTATAAGGCCTCAGATGAGTATGCTGGAGATCTCAAGGCGTCTGTGGATCAGTATAAGACATCGTTTGATTATGCTAAGGCTTTGAACTCATACGGGGGGAAGGCGATGTCAGCGTCAATTAAGCTCTCCAAGGAGTGGATTATGGCCGAACATCCTTCTATAGACCCCTCTGGTCTGGATAGATTTCTTACACAGCGCAAGGGGAAGGAGAGTGTAGCTCAGTCATCCAGATCACTCGATCGTTCATCACAAGGTGGTAGCGGGGATGTCTCCCCTTCGAGCTGAAGCATTTCTTAGTTGTTGTTTTCTTTGCTAGTTTTTCCTTTTTAGTGTTTACTTTTGTTTAGCCTTGTTATCTCCTACTTGCTCGGGATGTGGGCAAGAATTCTTCGAATGTATAAACACGTCTTTCATTCGATATCATTGGCGCTGGATGCGTGGTTCCTTTAAATTGTCGTCTTTCCTGTTATTTTTCTTTTTACTGCTTGATGGTGCGGGGGAGTGTTCATATATATATATATATATTTTTTTTTTTTTAATTTTTTTTTTATGGCTCTCTACCTAGTTGCGTAGGCTACGTCGATCGCAGGGAGTGATTTGGCGATTAAGGGCCTTAGCCAATTTTTTGACTTTTCAGGGCTTTCCGCCTGGCCGCGCAGGCTACGTCGACCGCAGGGGGTGATTTGGTGGTTAAGGGCCTTAGCCAATTTTTTGACTTTTCAAGGCTTTCCGCCTGGCCGCGCAGGCTACGTCGACCGCAGGGGGTGATTTGGTGGTTAAGGGTCTTAGCCAATTTTTTGACTTTTCAAGGCTCTCCGCCTAGCCGCGTAGGCTACGTCGACCGCAGGGTTGATTTGGCGATTAAGGGCCTTAGCCAATTTTTTGACTTTTCAAGGCTTTCCGCCTAGCCATGCAGGCTACGTCGACCGCAAGGGGTGATTTGGTGGTTAAGGGTCTTAGCCAATTTTTTGACTTTTCAAGGCTCTCCACATAGCCGCGTAGGCTACGTCGACTGCAGGGGGTGATTTGGTGGTTAAGGGCCTTAGCCAATTTTTTGACTTTCCAAGGCTCTCCGTCTAGCCGCGTAGGCTACGTCGACCGCAGGGGTGATTTGGTGGTTAAGGGCCTTAGCCAATTTTTTGACTTTCCAAGGCTCTCCGCCTAGCCGCGTAGGCTACGTCGACCACAGGGGGTGATTTGGTGGTTAAGGGCCTTAGCTAATTTTTTGACTTTTCAAGGATATTTGCCTAGCCGCGTAGGCTACGTCGACCGCAAGGGATGATTTGGCGATTAAGGGCCTTAGCCAATTTTTTTACTTTTCAAGGCTTTCCGCCTAGCCGCGCAGGCTACGTCGACCGCAGGGGGTGATTTGGTGGTTAAGGGCCTTAGCCAATTTTTTGACTTTTCAAGGCTCTCCACCTAGTCGCGCAGGCTACGTCGACCGCAGGGGGTGATTTGGTGGTTAAGGGCCTTAGCCAATTTTTTGACTTTCCAAGGCTTCCACCTAGCCGCGTAGGCTACGTCGACCGCAGGGGGTGATTTGGTGGTTAAGGGCCTTAGCCAATTTTTTGACTTTTCAAGGCTCTCCAGCTAGCCGCGTAGGCTACGTCGACCGCAGGGGGTGATTTGGTGGTTAAGGGCCTTAGCCAATTTTTTGACTTTCCAAGGCTCTCCACTTACCCGCGTAGGCTATGTCGACATTATGTTTTAGTGGGATGAGCGTGGATTTCAAAGTTGTCTGTTGGCATAAAAAATTTCTGGTCTTGTGAGCTCAGTAGGCGCATCGGGACGTCCCAGCTAGGCTGGCCCTTCCGTAGCACCCTCATCATCTGTCACCACCAAGGTCTTTCATTGAATAAGATAAATTGTTACAACTAAGGGTGCCTTCGTGAGGCATTACATAGAGAAAATAAACAATGCAACCTAATCTACTATATTTACAAAAGCGCAGCCGACGCGTACATTTCGAATTCTACTGGTAATACTTTTTGAGATGTTCTGCATTCCATGGTCTACCTAGTGGCCTTCCTTTTATATCTTTCAAGCTGTAAGCTCCCTTCCCCAGCTTGCGAATTACTTCGTACGGGCCTTCCCAGTTTGGACCAAGCTTTGGTGGGGAGTGTCCTGCCGCTGCTACATCTCTTAGCACGAGATCTCCTGGCTGGAAGACCCTTGGCTTCACTCTCCAGTTGAAGTACTCAGCGGCTCTTCGTTTATAAGCCATCATTCTTATCGCCGCCTTGTCCCTTACCCCTTCGAGGAGGTCGAGTTCTCCCCCAGTCGTTGCGTCATTGGGCTGCTTGACTTTCATCCTTCCTGTCTCGCTTAAGATCTCAACCGGAACCACAGCTTCCATCCCAAAGGCCAGTTTGAATGGCGTCTCCCCGGTCAATTCTCGGGGGGTAGTGTGATATGCCCATAGTACATTGGGCAACTCCTCAGCCCAAAGTCCTTTTTTCTTTTTCCAACCGTGTCTTCAAATCCCATAGTATGGTTCGGTTGGTCACTTTAGCCTGTCCATTTGCCTTTGGGTGAGCAACTAAAGTCAGCCTGTGGTCGATGTGGTAACTTGTGCAGAAGGCTCTAAAACTGTGATTATCGAATTGTTTTCCATTATCTGTAATGATTACCCGAGGTATACCAAACCTGCATATGATATTTTTCCAAACGAATCCCTGTATCTTTGTAGTCGTGATGGTGGCCAAGGGCTCAGCTTCCACCCACTTAGTAAAATAGTCTACGGCAACTAACAAGAACTTCCTTTGTCCTTTAGACAGGGGCAAAGGTCCCAAGATGTCCATCACCCATTGGAAGAAGGGACACACCCCGAAAACTACCGTCTGTTGCTCGGCTGGAATGTGGATCAGATTTCCATGGCGTTGGCATGCATCGCATTTTCTCACCAACTCTCTAGCATCTTCCTTCATACTAGGCCAATAATATCCTTGTCGAAGCGTCTTGAACGCAAGGGTAGTCGCCCCTTGGTGGTTGCCACAAATTTTCTCATGTACTTCGACTAGCACCTCTTGTGTTTCTGTCGGTCGCAAACACTTTAAATATGGCATTGTGAAACCTCGCTTGTAGAGTAGCCCATCGATGATGGCAAATGAGGCTACCCGAACTTTTAGCCTTCTTGCTGTGAGAGCATCCTTCGGCAATTTATTCTTTGTGAGATATTCAAACAGCGGGTCTATCCAACTTTCCTCATTCTCTACATTCATAACATCGATTACGTGTTGGACGCTAGATTGTCGCAGAATTTGCACACTAGCTATGCGAGGCAGTCGTCTGGGGTTGGCTGATATGAGCTTAGCCAGTGCGTCCGCTTGCTCATTGTCCTTTCGGAGGACCTTAGTTATCTTAAACTTGGTGAACCCCTTCTGCAAGTTTTTGACCTCCATTAAATATGTAGCCATCTTTCCGTCCTTTGTTTCGAATTCCCTCGTCACTTGCCCGATTATCAACTGAGAGTCGCTGCAAATTTCCACTGAGGTTACCCCGAGTCTGGCTGCCAATCCCAAACCCGTGATTACTGCTTCGTACTCGGCCTCGTTATTTGTAGCAGGGAATTCAAAATGCAGCGAGTATTCCAACTCTTCCTCATTCGGACCTATCATTATGATCCCCGCCCCAGATCCTTCGTCGTTTGAAGATCCATCGACAAAAATTTTCCAATCTGCATGTTCCCCTGGTGGGTGTTCGGGCGGGGTGGTGAGCTCGACGATGAAGTCTGCTAGAGCCTGTGCCTTAATAGTTGTCCTTGGCCTGAATTTGATATCAAACTCACTTAACTCGATGGCCCATTTCAACAACCTCCCAGAGGTCTCGGGCCGATGTAGAATCTGCTTGATAGGTTGGTCAATCATTACTTGCACCGTGTGAGACTGAAAGTAAGGCCTCAATTTCCTGATCGCGACAATTAATGCAAACACCAACTGTTCAGTCATGATGTATCTTATCTCTGCGCCCCTCAATACTTGGCTCACATAGTAGACTAGTTTTTGGCCTTTGAGAACTCTTTCACCAGGACCGCGCTGACTGCCTTTGGTGATACTGCCAAGTAGAGACACGACACGTCCTCAGGAGATGGGCTGGTCAAGATCAGGGGCTCTTGTAATGATTGCTTCAAGTTCCTAAGAGACTCTTCGCATTCCTGGGTCCACTCAAAATTGGAGGAGCCCCCTATAGCTTTGAAGAAGTGGTAGCATTTGTCTGCCGCCCGGCTCATGAAACGATTTAAGGCCGCTACCCGCCCCGTCAGCCTCTGAACCTCCTTCCTGCTGGTGGGGCTTTTCATTTCTAGGATTGCCCAAATTTTGTCCAGGTTCACTTCGATGCCCCTTTGCGTGATCATGAACCCTAGAAAATTTCCCCCTGCGGTACCAAAAACACGCTTCTCTGGATTGAACCTTAATCTGTTTTGTCGGGCAACGTCAAACACTTTCTGCAACCAGGCCACATGGTCATCGGCTTTGGCGCTCTTGACCACCATATCGTCAACACAGACTTCTACGACACCTCCGATTAGCCCACGAAAGACTTTGTTTACCATCCTCTGATACGTTGCTCCTACATTTTTCAAACCAAATGGCATGGCTGTGTAACGGTACATGCCAAAGTCCGTGATAAATGACGTCTTCTCTTGATCGGACTCGACCATTGAAATTTGATGATACCCCGAAAATGCATCTAGAAAGCTGAGCCTTTCATGACCCGACGTTGCGTCTACCAGTTGATCTATTTTGGGAAGCGGGTATGAGTCTTTTGGGCATACCTTGTTCAACCCAGTATAATCTACACACATGCGCCATTTTCCGTTTGACTTCTTTACAAGTACAATATTTTCCAACCACTCGGGGTATTGCACCTCTCGGATAAAACCCGCCTATAGCAATTTTTCCACCTCTGCTCTGGCCGCAGCCTGCCTCTCAGGGGCAAGATTTCTCTTTTTATGCTTCACTGACTTAGCCCCTGGCTGGACACTGAGGCGGTGCTGCACAACAGTTGGGCTAATTCTCAGGATATCCTTTGGGTTCCAAGCGAAGACATCCAAATTACCGGCTAGACACTTCGCTAATTTTTCCTTCTCTTTGGATCCCAGACCTGTTCCAACAAGAAACTCCTTTCCTTTGGCAATAAAGATTTTTTCAATCATATCAAGTGGCTCGATCCGCTCCCTCGAGAGTTCTACATCCAGCATCATGACTGATGGTGGGCTTTGGCTTGTATACTATCCACATAGCACTTTCTTGATGCATGCTGGTCTCCCCGCACGCTCCCGATCCCCCTGCTGGTTGGAAACTTCATAATTTGATGGTAGGTCGATGGGACCGTGCCAGCTGCATTTAGCAATGGCCGGCCGTAGATAGCGTTGTAGGCCATAGGGGTCTTGACGACCAAGAAATTAGTCACGATCACCACTGTCGCTAGGTATGTCCCAAGCGTGACTGAAAGCTCTACAGTCCCTTCCAGTATTACTGTTGCCCCTCCAAAGCCTTGTAGGGGGGTAGTCACCACCTTCAACCTTTCTTGGGGGATTTTTAGACCCAAGAAGGCATCCCAGGTGAGGACATTTGCCGCACTCCCTCCGTCGACTAACACCCTCTTCACGTTAAAATCCGCAATACCGCCTACTATTACTAAGGCGTCATCATGGGGGTGTGTTACACCAATCAAGTCATCTTCATCAAAAGTTATACTCTGGTTGAATCTTGCTTTTTTCTGAATAGAGCAGACCCCTACTGAACGCGCATAGCTCTTCCTAGCTGAATTTGAGTCGCCGCCCGATGCTACTCCTCCGATGATCATGTTTATCACTCCTGCCCTTGGTGGGGGTAGACCTTCAACCCTTTGCCTGCCCTTATCGTTTTTCACATACTTTGCCAATAGCCCCCGTCTCAGCAGGCGCTCAATTTCTTCCTTTAACTGTAGGCATTTTTCGGTATCATGCCCGTGATCTCTATGAAAATGACAGTATTTACTTTGATTTCTCTTGCCCAAAGGGGTTAGCATTGGTTTGGGCTATTCGAGCTCCTTCATGTGCTGTATCTCCATCAATAACTTTGTTCGCGGAATGTTCAAAGGGGTGGGTATCTTGACCTCCTCTCGTTTCTGCCTGACTGACCGGTCCTGGGCATAACCCTTGCTTGTGCGTTCATTCTTCGGCTTATTTTTATCATTGTGCCCTTGCTCGTCACATGTTTTTCGCTTATGAGCTTCTGTCTCCCTTCCATCCCTGAGATTTTTAGTTACCTTCTCCGCTTCCTCCGCATCGACATACTTGTCCCCCTTCTTTAATAGGTCATGCATCGACTCCGGGGGGTTCTTGGAAAGTGACATCTTAAAGGCCCGATTTCGCGTTCCATTCATCAAGGCTGTAACCACTGCGAACATTTGTAGGTCTCTTATGCCAAGAGTCGCCAGGCTGAACCTAGCTAAGTATTCCTGTAATGACTCGTCTTTGTCCTGTACGACCTGCATCAACCCAATGGCTGTCTTCCTCTTCCTTTTGCTGCTTAGAAAGTAAGCCACAAAGCTCCTGGAGAGCTCATCTAATGACTTGATGGAAAGCGGGGCCAAGGTTGCTACCCAGTCCCTAGCCTCCCTCCTGAGTGTGGGGGGAAAGGATCGGCACATCACTGCGTCCGGGGCGGCATAAAGTCTCATCAGATCCACGAAGGTTCGTAGATGGTCGAGCGGGTCCGTGACTCCATCATAGGCTTCAATCATGGGCTGTTTGAAGCTTTTAGGCAAAGGGACCGCCATGATTTCTGGGGCGAACGGGTCTTCCTCCAAAACCATCTGTCTCCGCCTATCTTTTCTCTTGGACAATGCATCGTCTATCTTCTGGGACATGATTTCTTCCATCTTTCGTTCCAGGTCTACCATAGTTTGCGGGGGCTGTTGAGCTACTGTCATTAGGGCTCCCGCGTCTCCCGCTCCCCCGCTGAGAGATGGGTGGGATAGCTTCGGGTGGCGCTTGAGGCGGTTGTTGATTCGTCACTTCCGTCGGGCTTAAATGAGGAATGGTGGTTCTCTGCTACTGGTTTTGTAAGAGCACCATCATTGCTATTAATTGGTTCTCCAAAGCGCTGAATTGACTCTGCTCAAATACTGCGAGGGCGGTGGTGGTTCATGACCCCTTGCAACTGACTCCGACTCCGTCTCCGCCGTGTTCCCAACCAGGCGAGTATCATTTCTTGTTCGTCTTCTTGACATGGCTTTTTAGTTCAAATGAGATTCCCACAGACGGTGCCAATGAAAGGGCGGTGGAACAACACCCTTCTGTTTGCCTGGTAGTGTTTGGCGTTTCCACCACTCCGTCAAGTATGCAAGACCTGAAAAATGAAGGCGGGGCTTTCTCCCCCGTTTTACCTCCGGCGTGAGAATTAGTTTTTAGACTTGAAAGAAATATATTTGAAATTCAGATGGCTAAAACGAGAATGAGAGAAAAAAATCCCTTACCTGTGTCACATCCGGGGGTATTTATAGATATTAGGCACTGGGTAACCGCTGGGCGGCTGTGGTGCCATGTGTACCACGTTGGTATTCCCACTACACCCACGTTCTGAGTGAGGAGTCCTTAACTTCCCGCTTGAAGATTGTACCTGTATCAGCGGCCATGGAACGTGGTCAATTCATTAAAGGTTTTATGGCTAAGTGTTTGGACAAGCAATATCATGCCCGTTGAGGACTTCGCTTAGAGGTAGAATGATTTCTAGGGATAGTGGTAGAGCGCCTTTTGGGGGTTCTAGTAGAGCGCCTCCCGGGTGTAGTGGTAAAACGCCTTCTGGGGGTTGTGGTAGAGCGCCCCTGGGCGTAGTGGTAGAACGCTCCTCTCGGCGTATTGGTAGAACGCCTTATGGGGGTCGATGGCCTTGCATTGGAGTGCTGTGATCTGCCTTGCTTGTCATTGAGAGTGGCTACTTCTACCAACCTATATCATAAATGATTAAGTTTAACGTCACATTAAATTCCAAGTGTCAATCATACAATATGATCAAAAGCATAAAAGTAAATAACATCAAATATGGTAACGAAAGAAGATCCCTAAAAGAACTCTTCACCAGGGATTAAAAACCTTCAAGCAAACCTTGCCAAAACAATCCACTAGAAAAGATAACTTACAATTAGTACAGACATAAGTAAATTCTAGTAGATTATGACCACCCAATCTATAAATCATCGAAGTACCTCTTTGATTGTGCAACCCGCACTTTTCAGTAATTCTGAACTTCTTTTCCCTCCATATAAATCATTAAGAATGATCTCATTTTGGGACAACTGAAACTTTATCTGTCTCTTCACAACTTTAGAACTTTGAATGTTTATTAGTAAAGGTAATGAATTTTGGCATTTTATTATAGAATTGATGTTTGATATTTGTAAGTATTCACTTGAATGAATAATTGATCAACCAAGATGTTTCGGAGCGAATTTGTTGGGAATTTACTTAAACATGCACAGCAGAATTAAATAGTTTCAATTCCCATTCAGGATTCATCTTTGTATTTAGATAAGAATTGTGATGAGAAATACACATTTTTCTTGATTTTGTAAACTCCTTTGCGTTATTCTTTTCCAGCAACTTGAATTTGCCTCCCACAGCTGTCCAATTGTCCAGCCTCCAATGAAATCCACACAGAGAATAGACTGCAACTGCTTGGGTTTTTCCTCTTGTGCCAACAAAAATAATGAAAACCTTATGGACCTCAAACCCTAGCCATGTATTTATATAAACCCAAACAGGCTCGGCCCGGTCCGATCCAATATTTAATTAATCCATTTAATTAAACCAGGTCCGTGAATTAATTAATCCAATTAATTAATTCGGGAATATAAATAACAAATTCAATTAATTAATTTATCCAACGATCGTTAAACTAATCAATTGGCAATTTGCAATCTTCCAATTCTCTTTTGTGTGCGACCCATTAGGTTCCCGACCACGATGCCAACGACGTGAAATATTATTTTGATCTAATCAAAACTGATAAATTAAACACCCTTTCAATTTATCACAAATTCACACTCGCCGTTCCAGATTGATATCTAACAATGTATCAGGGCAATACATGTGACGGGAAATGTCACGTGGTATGACAAAACCAAAATTGTTCGTTTACCATGAAATTATAATCCCTTCGTCAATACAATCCGATCAACTAGGAGATATGGAAGTGTGTCAATCTCGATTATCGATCATATCTTTCGTTCTACTATTAAGTCAATATGAGTCGAAAACTCCTTTTCGACTTATATGTATACCTTGGCCAAGGATTTCGTTATTGACTTAATTGAACGAAATGCAGATCACAATCTCTTACTATCTAAGAGTGACGAATCCTCTATTTTCATTCACAACCTTCATATGGTTCTTGACATACCTGAACGATGTCGTATTAGCGGCCCTTGGCAGAGCAACATCCAACACCGTCAAAGCATGATTGTCCTCATATAAGTCACTATGATGACCTCAAGTTATAGGACCAATTCCACTACCAAACGTTAGAGATTAACCACTGACACTCAAATAGTTATCCATGTGGAATCTCTTAGCAGGTCTCCAATGTTTTGTTCTATAACAAAACATCCACATATTCATTTAAGTGTCACCACACTTAGCTCGTGAAATCAGCTACTTATTTCACAAGTAAGAAATGTCACACGTGATGGTCTAACTGTATTAACAGTATCCGTATCGCGTCATTACTTACGACCACGGTTTATTCAAGATCCAATCATACGTAATTTGTATCTCACAATCACAACTCCTTGTGATTAACAAATCACTTAAATTTAGATCTTCGGATTCTATTATTTAATATTATTTATCACAAAATTAATTTAAATAAATAATAGATCTTGCCAAATTAAATGCATTAAACATATTAAAAGTGTTTACAATCTAAATCGATTGGATCTAGGGCATAACACTTACAAACTCCCACTTGCACTAGATATAATCACTCATGTATCTAATACCATAAGCGTCCACATGACGATCATGTTTCTATTGTGACAAAGGCTTTGTCAGTAGATCTGCAATATTGTCGTCTGTGGGAACTCGCTCTATTGTTACGTCATTTTTTTGTATAATCTCCCTGATGAGATGATATCGCCTTAGCACATGTTTGGATCGTTGATGAGACCTCGGTTCCTTTGCTTGTGCGATGGCTCCATTGTTATCACAATACAAAGGTATGGGATCAACAATGCTAGGAACAACTCCAAGTTTATTGACGAACTTCTTGATCCAGACAACTTCTTTCGCTGCTTCAGAAGCAACAATGTACTCGGCTTCTGTTGTTGAATCAGCGGTTGTCTCCTGTTTGAAACTTTTCTAACTAACCGCTCCATTGTTGAGAGTAAACATATATCCTGATTGAGACTTGCTATCATCTTTGTCAGTTTGAAAGCTGGCATTAGTATACCCATGAATTTTCAGTTCATTTCCTCCATAGATCAAGAACACATCATTAGTCCTTCTCAAGTACTTAAGAATGTTCTTAACCGCTATCCAGTGTTTCTCACCAGGGTTTGCTTGAAGCCTGCTCGTAACACTTATATCATATGAAATATCTGGTCTCGTACATAGCATCGCATACATGATAGATCATATCGCCGAAGCATAAGGAATCTTGTCCATGCGACTCCTTTCATCATGTGTTTTAGGACACATATCTTTTGAGAGGTAAATCTCATGCGACATGGGACATAAACCTCTTTTAGACTCTTCCATATTAAATCTTTTCAAGATTTTATCTATGTACGAAGATTGGGATACGAAGATTGGGATAAGCCTAGTAATCTTTTAGATCTATCTCTATAGATCTTGATTCCCAAGATATACGCTGCTTCTCCCATATCTTTCATGGAGAAATTCTTTGAAAACCATAATTTTACCGATTGAAGCATTAGGATGTCGTTTCCCATTAATAATATGTCATCGACATATAATATTAGGAATGTGACCGCGCTCCCACTTGTCTTCTTGTAAACACACGGTTCAT